AATGAAACCGACTGAAACTCACTTGAAAGATGTGGAATCACAGAAATGAAAGTAAAGATGGGATGGCCAAGTGTTTGTGGCTCTAGGCAACAATGCTTCACGGTGTGTATGCGTTTTGATTTCTAAATAAGCGTATTTTAAATAGTTGATTGCTGAAAAGGAAGAGGCTATGTTGTAATTTCTGGACTTCTTGAGAATAAAATATATACTTTTGTAAATATACATGCTCCAATTTTTTGGCAAACTGCATTCTTGTCGACATTTTGTCATATGTCTTAAATGAGAATGTGATCAATGCTGAGATCCACAGTAAATTAATATGGGATCACATGGAGGATCCTAATAAGCTGGACTTGAACAAAATCAATGTTACTTATTATGTCAGAGCTGCAAGCATCTTTGCTTGAAGAACAACATTTGCTTTGTACACATTAAGGGGGAGATTGAGAAGAGTGATAAGGCGCTGAAAATGTTAGGTCTCAGGCTGAAGCAAATGGGAGGGCAAATATTTGTTTTCTGCTGCTCACAACTGGAAAGGATCTTTAATATGTGAATCAAACAAGATTATTTAAAATGATATGAGTCAGAATGTAAGTTTAATTTAAAGGATGCCCATGATTTTTTTTCTATCCTCTGTCTTTTCCTCGGTTTTAGAACACTGATAAGGAGTATTTTAAAAGGGCAAGTCTGCAATTAAAGGACCCATGGCTGTTAAGCACCAGGGGAGAATGGTTTTACTATTGAATTTTATAAATGTTTCTAGGACACAGTGTCCCCTTTCTAAATGTTATGAATAATGATATTATTGCTAATCAATACTGGGCAGCATATGCTCAGCTGTGATTCCTGTGTTACCAAAACCAGGCAAAATCCACCTACAGGTGACTAATTTACATCCTCTCAGTCTTTTCAATAATGATTATGAGATAAATACAAAGATGCATGCAACGAATCTCAGAAAGTGTTTCCTTCTTTAGTTCACATGGACTAAGTGGGTTTCATTGCAGCCTTTCCTCCAATAAGACTTTTTAATGTAATGTAAAGACCTTCAGCATCCAGCTGTAGCAATATTGCTGGATGCAAAAGAAAAAGTGTTTAATAGGACAGAAAATTTGCATTTATCTCTATCTACACTAAAAGAATTTGGTTTTGGTCTGATGCCTCTTTATCATAAACATATTGCATGAGTCAAAGCCAATGGTATGATATCGTCCACCTTCCAGCTCTTCAGGTCTACCAGACAGGGTTTTCCTGGGTCTCCGCTTATTTTCAAACTAGCACTTGAACCTTTAACCTGTGCCATCAAAGCTAATAAATAGAGCCAGGCCATTCCGCTTAATCATCTTAAATCCCCAGCAGATTTAGCTTCTACTCCCATGAAATATCTTGGTATCATAATCCCCAGTTGAAAAGATCTATGAGTTAAACGTTTGAAAAATTATAAAGCAAGATCTTAAGAGATGGGCAACAATGCCTTTAACATTGTGGGGAAATTCAAGTAATTAAAATGAAAACTGAACATTGTAGAGTTCAGTGAACTGAAAAGGCAACATAAATTAAAAGGATTTTAAACTTTAAAAAGGATTTAAAGCTTTAAATAGTATTACAGAATTACATAACTACAGGCAATACCCTAAATCATAAAGAATCTGTTGAAAAGAAAACAGAGGCATGTAAGGGGGAGCCACTTGTACAAACATTAAGTTACAGTGCGAGAAAGATTTAAAGGCAACATTCAAATTACTTCATCAAATTGTGTGAGGTACAAAGTTATCCAGTTTTTTTTTTTCAGCATTTCAATTCTCAAATGATGTAACGGCTGATTGGACTAACATGTCTCTCAGTGAAGATACTCATCTACTGGAAAGTGAGGTTTGTTCATACAGTTTTGCTTGTTATTTTGTAAGTATGTAGGTCAACCAGCATTTTTATTTTATTTATCCTGGTTGCTCTCGAAAGTTATGTTGAATCTATGCTGAAATGACATGGTAATTAATGAAAATTATCATACTACTATCATACTTATACTCAGACTAACTGGCTCTATACTTAAATACAAGAACATTGTTGTTTCTTTATTTCCATGTCTTTTACATGGATAATCAGCCGCTGGATTCTCACTTTCTTCACTTCCTCGGACACAGCTGTAGCCTCAGACAGTATTTAAAACCCTTTTTTCAAAGTTTGTGTTTTAAAGTTTAGTTGGAAAAATTTAAAAGCCGGAGACATCATTTTCAATTAACTTGTGGAGCTAATGTTACGTAATTTAGCTAGCTAGCTGCAGCTGATAAAACCATAAAATCCGCTAGTGACATCATTATTATCATTACAGCTGACAAAATTGATGGACATCAGCTGGAAATGACCAGCCTGATTTTGTTTTTAAAGGTTTCAAATGACTGATGTGATTTTAGGTCTGCAACTGTTAACTGCATGTGTGCCGTGCTAGAACACAAGTTCTCATGGGTATAACTACAGTAACTAAGAGGGGCAGGGTCTTAGCGGATGGTTAATTGCTTTCCACTCTTTAAATAACTGAAAGGGCCTTCCTGGGATTGATTTCAGCACTGCAGTCTTAAACTGGGGTTGTAGGGTCAACACAATTTTCAAGATTGTGTGAACAGTTGACAGTCTTCTGTAAGAGAAACAGAAATCATTAACTAATCTTGACAACATTAAAGGGGGTGGTAAACAAACCGGGTAAAATATGTCCTTTTAAGTTTAGGCCTTTTAAAGAAACCCTAACCTGGTTGATCAATATGTCACGCGAGCCATTCAACATGATTGTGTGCTTAATAACAGTGACCAGAGCATTTACTTTGAAGCTTAAAGGGAATCGATAACTCCTTTTGATGGGAAAACTACCCACCAACTTCATGTTTTCCTATTATAAATTATAAACTGAACAAGGTGCTGAAACCACAGTCTATGGCTGAAACACATGCGACCAGTGTGAATGACCTTGTGACATTGAAGCCTAGCCTATCCATCGTGCACCCCAGCAACAGCCTGTTCCCCCTGCTTCCATCTGGCATGAGATGCAGAAGTATCCGCTGCCTTATCACCAGACTATAGAGAAGCTTCTTTCCCCAGCCAGTAAGACTCTTAAATTCGTCCCCCTCACTTCATCAAAATGAATAGTTATTTAAGATTTTGTATGTGTGTGTGTAGCATAAAGGGACAACAAATGTAAATTTAATAAGACAACCCTGTATTGTGAAATGACCATTAAATGAACCCTTGCTATTTAAGCATAATATTTCCTCCCACACAGCCGTCTTCCACATGTAGGCCTGCTGCCATGCTTCTCTCAACCCTAATTAATGTGATAATAGGTCCCTCAGGAGCTGCGAAGAGCAATATTGTGCTATAGGCACTGTTTAAAGTTGCACAAATCAATCATTTTATATTAACAATGGATCAAATTAATATTTGTACTGCATGAGAAAGGGGTAACTCTTAGTGGCAAACTGTAGCTAAGTGTTTTGGTTTTATGGCCCTCAACCACAGACTTTAGTGTTAATTCTCACAGCCACCATGAATCGAACTCTGATGAACTTACTGTATGTTACCTGCTCAGCACCAAACAGCTATTAGGCATAGTCAGCGACTTTTGCATTTAGCAGCTAAAGAGCCAGATATCTTTACACAGCCTTCCCCCTGCTGTTGTCGGAGACAACACTTCAAATAGTTCAAGCCTTCAAGAAAAGACTGAATAAACACCTTCTCAGCATGGGGCTGTAATCCTAAAGCTCAAGCACTTCAAACATACACAAATCAGTCTATATATATTCCTGAGCCGCTGCAGATCAGTGATTGGCTCTCTGAATTGTGTTCGTGAAGCTTGTTTCTGCAAAAGAAAAATCACTCTAGAGCTAAAAGGAGTGTGAATAATTGTCAGGTAGCAAGAAACACAACTCCAAATTAATTATGTTGTTCCGTGTCTACTGGATGTGTAAATAACATTCAATTAATGTAAGGTGATAACAGTCAACCCCCAATGAATTAAAGAAAAAAATCTCATAACATTAATGAAACGTTCACAAAAATAATGTTGTGTTGATATTCACTGTGATGGATTAACTCTTACAAGTACAGTAGTAGAAAATAAATACTTTCACATTTCTAAAATGTAGTAGTAGGATGTTTTGCATATAAAGTATATAAAGTAAAATGTGAAGTGAATTAAATTGGCTAATGGTTGCACAACCCCTGGTATGGTCTTAAATTTTGAACTAATTGTAATTATAGAGTTGCATGCATAAATAAAATGCACCCAAACAATGTCCTGCAGCAAAGAGCAGACATTAATAAAAACCCACTGGATTCAACAGTAGTTGCCCCTAATCACATGTGGAGCCCTTAATGACTTTAAGTAAACAGTAGATTTATAATGATTACTGTAAAATGGCTGCAGGAAAAGTAATCAAAATCCCATGCAACAACAGTAAACATTTTATTACTGGAACCCAACCAGCTACTGACTTTTGACACTTTTCATGACGTACTTTAAAAAGAAACTTCCCTGAAAATCAGAAGATTGAAATGATACCACAAGGAAACTACCATTAATTAATGCCAAAGAAAATACTATTAACATTTAACCCTGTTTTAAAGGTAAAGATTGAAACTTTTAGGGGCATATATAAAATACACACAATGATGGATTCACAGCTCAAACTCCAGAAGCTATAATGCAGAAATGAGAATGGAGAAGACGGTTTGTTCTGAGCAGTTGCGCGGAAAATAAGAAAGGCAAGCATGACTTCTTGAACAGGCGATAGTGTATGAAAAATCGAGCAATTCAAAAAAGTCTCTGCCTCAGATAGGAAGAGCAGATAAGACTCTAGTGGCAATCAATAGAAATATACACAGAAATGATTTTGGTTATTTCATGAAAAGTGAATACTGATCTGGTTACTGATGTGTGATGATTTCTAGGTGCAGAGAAAACCAACCAATGACACAGAGTGCTAAAAATGAGGCAAAGAGACAAGGACTTTTCAGGTTCTGTCAATATTTTATTTGAAGCTGTCCTCACTGACCACATGGAAGTAAATGGTAACACGGTAGAAAGAGCAATCAGTCTTGGAAAAGGAGAGGGTTCTTCTTAGAAGAAAACACCTCCTGTGTCAGGTGGGGTGGGGGGTGGGGTGTTGGTGATGAGAGGTTGATTCAATAGGTGATTCACCAGATTTATATCTCTTCTTCAAGGAATTGACAGGTCCCCTTAAAATGAAAAACACAGCGTGACATACAGAAAACACACAATCCCGCTTTAGCCTCTTTGAAACCCTTTCAGTTGAGAAGCAATTTCTGCTCAAGCCACCCCGCAAATGATCAAGGGGGAAAGATTGTGGAATGTGGTATAGAAAATTGGATAAAAATAGAGTCAGTTACAAATAAGAAAGCACCTCTATAGAAGAGAAGCTGAACATATGTGCCTTTTTTCTGTAGCACAATCAGGAAGGGGCAGCGAATCAATATCTGAAAATAAAAGAAAATGACAGATATTGGCCGTGCAGCTGCAGTAAACCACTGCTGCGAGTAAAACCTCCATATAAAATCTCACTTCTTCCTTTCTTGTCTCTCTCCTCTACCCCCCACCCCTTTGCTGCAGGGCTTGTCATGAGCCAATGGGCAGCCCCGTCACCCGTGGGAGCCTCAAGGCAGGGCAGGGTCCGAGATGGCGTGTGCAGGGTCGCAGGTGAAGGACACTGTGATGGCGTAGCGTGTCCCCCATGTCACCTTCTCCACGCGGTGGAGGTTCTCCGACCCGGAGGAGAAGAAAGAAACTCGTCCTGGGCAAGGAAGGAATGAGAGGGACATTGTAGGAGGGAAAAAAATGGTTTAAAAGATTAGTTAAACATTTTGGGGAGTATTTTATTATCATGTTGGCATTATGTACAGAACTGGAATCAGGACGTGGTTAACCTAACTTGGTATAAAGACTGGATGTGGGGGGGAAACAGCTAGCATGTTCAGAAATACACCAAAATTCAGAAATACACCTACCAACAGTCACATGTCTGTGCGTCAAACGTGGAGTCAGGACGTGGTTAACCTAGCTAAGGGCTGGACTGGCACAAAAAAAAAAAAAAATCAGCCCTGGCATTTTGGTCGAGGCGGCAAAACAAAATCGGACACAAGTCGGACACCCCTCACCAATACACCATCCTTCCTTTTTAGCTTAAGTTACTTTTTTTTGGATAATGCAGAGGTTTCTTATATATATACATTGCAGGCTTATTGTGGAAATAAACTCCTCTCATGGCATTTTTTATTTGTTAATTAACATTTCTTGGTGCAAGCTTGGTTCACCTCTACTCTCCTCCTCTGCTTGTATACACGCCTCCTCCTCTGCCTGGCAGTGGCCGTGGCTCTCCTTTACTTCCTCAAGTGCCTGTGCCTACACTACATCGGGTACTGCAGCCTCGGTAGTAAACATTGGTTATTTTCGTGCATTTAGAGGCATCCGTCTGAAGAAAAACTTTTTTTTTTTGGCCCGAAATTTAAAAAACAGTTATATAAATAAATAAACAACACTGCAGCTCACTCGGATGATACTCTAATGCGTGTGTGTCCCAGTGAGTTCCTTCTGCAGAAGACTTGAATAAATTTCACAGAAAGACTAGGGTTTGCCTGAGCTGTTTATCTGAAAACACGAACTGCCATCACAAGCTGTCAGACTTTCACTATGTAACTCCCCTAAAACCACAAGTCTTTAAATTTCTGTATGTGAACAATTAAACATTTTTATTTATGAACTTTAGACGCATTCTTTTGAACTTCTGACAGAGTTAGACTAACAGTTTTCCTCCTGCTTCCAAACGTTGTGTCCTATAGCTATAATGTTGCTCGCCAAGAAGTGGCTCAAAAAATGCAACCCCCCCTAAAATCACAAACTGTCACATTTACATTTCTCTTTATGTATACAATAAACACACAAGAAATATCTGGGTTAATCAGTGTTCTCTGGAGCAGTTGGTAGGTGTATTTCCAAACTTTAGACAAAGTCAGGCTCACTGTTTCCCCTTCCTGGGGATTCACCTCAGCCTCCCGTCTTTAAGCTAAGCGAGGCTGAACACATCCTGACTAGCTAAACTGTCATCATGAAATGGCTCCAACATGCAACTCTCCCTAAAATCACAAATGATCACTTTTATCCTTTCTCTTCATGTACGGGTTAAACAAACAAATTAGTGAGCTTTAGAATATGAATGTGATACGTTTTATAACTTAGCTAGCCATGCTAGCCTTTTCCAGTCTTTATGCTAAGCTAGTCGAATATCATCAGATATATCAGACTCCAGCTCTATATTTAACGTACAGATATGGGAGAGGTAATAACCTCGTCCTAATCTTGGAAAGACAGTAAGTAAGTTTATTCCCCAAAATGTTAACTGTTCATGACAGACTGTGCAGTATTGCTCATGGAACTGGAGTACATTTGATGAGGAGACAAACAACATAAAAAGACAAAAAAAGAAGCTGGGCCCATGAAGAGATGAAGTGACCATAAGGACTTATTCCAGGAATGTATTTTAGAGAATGCTGAAATGCATTCTTTTGACTATCTCATTTCAAACATTTTGCTTGAACCGACACAGTTTGAGTTTGGGGAGGTAGCCTCGAGGTAAATTATCTTTATTTATCAGAGGCTTTGCTTCGCAGGGCCAGCTAATTAGCTATTACCATTTCCCAGCCAGTCTGATTCTTTCTAATCACAACCTGCTCCGTCTTAAATATACATTTGCATTAATACATTTACATAGCTAGTCTGCGGTTATATCCCATAATAAAGAGATTTATATTTTAAAAGTTTGCAATGTCTTGTTACAAAACTTCCTGTTCCTTTGCCTTCTGAAGGGGTTATCTCATTATGTGAATATGCATAAAAAGCTGGGATCATTATGTCCCAATTTGTTTGCTCCACTTTTCCTCTAAGGAATACTGACTTGCGTCTGTTCATCTGTGTGTGTGTGTGTGTGTGTGTGTGTGTGTGTGTGTGTGTGTGTGTGTGTAAAACCTCCTGGCAGGGCATTAGCTGAGGACATCAGGGGAAATCAGCGCTCACAGTTAAACAATGGAATTTACACTGAAAAGCTAAAGAATAGGAAATGAGAAGAAAGAGAATTGAAATGTGTGTGAGCAGCAAGATAATGAGTGGTGGTCTGCTTGTTTTTATGTCATTGAAAAGGAGGACTTTTTCAAGTGCTCCAATTAGCCACACAGCTTTAGATAACTGCACAATGAAATAATCTTTGAAAATAATTCCTTGCACTTGTCAATATAAACGTTCCCAGTGTTTCCCGTGAAGGGCCCAGCAGATTCAGTGCAGTCAGCAGAGGAGATTAGTGCAACACAATGGAGGGATTTTCACAGAGGAATTCAACAGGGTTCACACTGTTCCAGAAATCACTTACAGGAACACCTAGAGATACTTTTTCTGTATGCAAATCTCAGTGAAGTTGAGAAAGCTATGGATAGTTTATACTCACAATCAGATCAACATTTACAAATCTAGGTTTATTACCAATTAGATTCTTTCAACTTTACTCGCTCTCCACACGTTTCCCGGTCATGTGTGCCGCCCCCTGCAAAATGACCACAAGGGCTTAAAAAGTAGAGTCTAATCTATCAAAACATATATATAAGTTCATATGTGTGTAACTTATCTTAGTACTAGCAGTCTGTGAATATTCCAAATGGTGCCAACATCCTACTAGTGAAACAGAGCATGGTAAAAAGTGTGTAGTGCATTTAAGGTTTTCAAATTAAAATACTGGAGCAACATGGTGAAAGTCTAATGCATGCTTCTCCTCGCTCAATCCCCCTATTGAGCCCAAAGGGAAAAGAAAGAAAAAATAAATAACTTACGGCTTCTATGTCCTAACTGGCCAAAAATTAGGAGTATAAGTGTTTCATCAATGTTCTTTATTTCTATCTTAGCCAGTATTTAGGAGAACAGCTTTTAGCAGTCATAAATCGAAGTTTGCTCGCTCTTCCAGCACCTCGTGAACATAGACAAACGTGGACAAACTTGTATTTTCAATGCAACCATGTTCCCCTGGTTGGAACATTTCTTTCCTCACCTACAGAGAACCGAAGTGAAACCAGAACATATTTACTATTTCTGTTTTAGTGGACTTTAACAAACAGCATTTCCCACAAGCCCGAGGTTTAGGCCTTCGTGGGCTATACATCATAACTCCCTGAGCGAGTTGAAGAGTTGCGGCTGCTCACAAATTAATCGTTATTTAAAGACAGTGAACCCCTGGAACACAATTCATTTGTTCAGGAAGGCCAATAAAAACAAAAAGCTAAATGAGAGATTGTAGTAAGTTACAGAAGGTAGTGGAACAGAGGCTAGACAGGGAGTGACGTCATGACTTTGACTCTATAGCGGAAGATCCCGTATACTGCAGTATATGCAAGATATGGCCCTCCTGCAGACGCTGTGAAACAATGTCGTTGAATAGGGCTGACAGGATCGTTTCAAGCAGGTGGGTCAAATTACTTAGGCTACTATCTTAATTTATACTTTTTAACTTAAAGTTTCTATGTAGATGGTGTATTGAGATTATGGTATCTATTTATTTTGGCATTTTGCTAATATAACTTAATGGTACCAAAGTCATTTGCCTATTCACGTATAACCAAGGCATAAAAAAGTGGTGCTTTTTTCTGTATTTTCATTTTTAACCTCGTCTAATAGCCGCCTCCAATTGTCAGGAACAGACAAGTCATCCTAATTTCTGAGTGTCGTAGAACACCAATTTCACATCACCCCATTGAAGTAGTCCTTCTCCTTGCTGAAAACTGGTGTAGGATGCTTCATAAATAACTCAAACCCTACTGTAAGGTAGTGCTAACTGCCTGAGACGCCTGATAAATGAGGGCCCTGATCATGATCTCTTACGCGATTTCAAAAAAATAAGTATAAAAGGAGTATAATAAATTATTCATCCAGCTGTGAAATTTGCTAAATAATACCCAAGCCACTCCAGGTCACATCAAAGTGGCCCAGGATTCCACACAGAAGTGGAAAGGTATTATTTTGTTCTCCTGAGTCAAAGCAATATACTTGCTTCCAATAAAGTTAAAGGGGAGCAGTCCACATCCAGGACAAGGACTGCATGAGCAAAGTTTATGAAATCCTGATATACAGGCTTGTTGCTGTGTATGCATCATGAGGCATTCATAAATGTTCACAGAACACACTTACAGAACATAACAGCAAGTTTCTCCTATGGTTACAAATTTCCCTCTGCCTAAATTTAGTCAGCTGTAATAATATATTCTGGAGGCTTAGCACACCTACGACAGTTCATATTACAACCTGATGGTAATTTAATAGCTTTTTTAGGACATCTAACTAATCCAGGACATACTGTTACTACATACTACAAAGAAGCATTAATGGAGAACTTCACCCATTATACACATCAAAGTCTCTTATAAAGCCTTTTGAGCTGTGTGATGTCTGATAAATGTCCTCAAGTTCTGTCAGTGTCGGTTGGGTGTTGAAGACTACAAGTTGGAAAATGAAAAAAAGTCTAGGGGCGTGGAGTTAGAAAGAAGTGAGTTTACAGGCTAGCCGCTACAGGACATTAGGAGCACAACGTACCCGGAATGCATTGAGAGTAATACAGGCGCCAGATTTCAATAAAGAAGAAGAGTGAGGAGAATAAAAAGAGTAAATCTCTGTTTCTGGTCTCATGGAAGCTGAAACTGGCAATAATCAAATAACAATTATTTATTATTTAATTGTCCATTAACAAGTCTATTATTTTTCTCA